ACGCTCCTGGCGCGTCTCTTACCTGCTAGCCGGTACTCGAGAATCGGCTGTGCATTGTTACCTGCGACGGGGAGGTTAACGATGCTCGGGCATTTTTGAAGAATGAAAATTTCACCGTTAACTTGCCGTAAAATCCGCTAACTCCGAAGGCTGGCACGATCAACCCCTAACCGAAACGTGCGCAACCAGGGAAATTCCCTAACGCTGTTAAATCTCTGTTCGTCGTAAATCGAAAGCCCAGTTCTTTTCTAATTTCACCCCAACAGGCCTATGCTCCGGGTGTTATCTTAATTTCAGAACGTTCCATCTACTGCTTTAATTACCTCTATCGATCTTCTTGACTAACGATAAGAGTACACAGAGTGAAAAAGAAAGTGTAAAGGGAGAAGGTAGGATATCAACGAAATACGATGCAAATTCGCCTCTCTATATACCACGGGGTTAATTTCGAACGTCCAACGCGTTGGGATTCTGTCCTAGCAAGGTCTATGCCCGCAAGATTGGCAAGATAGGAAGGGGAGAAGGCAAGGAAAGGAATCGTCTACGATTGATCGTGCGAGCAAAGATGAAAACGACGTATCCCTGACCGGTCTCGAACGAGGGACTTTGATGGAACGACGAACACATTGATGCCGCATCCTCCGCGATACCTCTACCCCGAATCTAACCGAGTTTTTCTCGCGACAAAAAGAATTTTATCCGGCGGCAGTCGGTTAACGCCAGTTTTACCAATCGATTCGCTCCTACGCGGCTGAATAGAAGCACTTTTTTACCAACCATCGAAATGGTTCCACGTGGGAAAAGGTGGCTATGGAAAAACTTCTATAGCAACGATCGGTTCCACCTTTTTACCTTGATATATTCTTGCTTTAAAAAAAAAAAGAAAAACAATTATTATTATAAAAGAAGAATTCAAAATACGAAAGTGCACGAATCGGCAGGAATACGGTCGTGTAAAAAGGGAAGAGAACGAAATCCGAACGGTAATCTGATGGGTCCAGGAGGGGAAAAAACCATAGAACGATCGGTACTTTGTATCCCTTTAAACCCGACTGAACGTGGAAGAAACACGAAAGAAGCTTGGGAAGAAGAGATGGAGAACAAACGGCTTAAGGTGGTGGCCACCCTCCAGTGTCTTGGCCTCCCCTTTGTCCGGGGAAGATCGCGTTATCGGTCGACAAAATATTGTTATCGTGCCGTAGCGATGGTTGAATCACTGATGCGAGAATACAGAGCACAAAGGGAGCCGTGCAAAAGGAAAGTCGATAATGATTGACCGGTGGCGAAGGTATACGTATATCGATGAGGAGCATCGGCGCGAACGGCAAAGCGAAACGGGTCGAGAAATCGTGGTGAAACGTGCTAGAATTCTCTGCCAACTCGCGACTATGTGCTGTGGGATTGCGACACGACCATTCCAGACTTTCCACGTAATCCAACTTTTACACCCCTCTCGACGTGTACGTCTTCGAGCGAGAGAAAAAAAAAGGCTATACGCGACAACCACCCTCGAACGAGCCACAGACACGTATCGAACGAATAATTTTATAGACCGCTAACGTATCGGGGAGAGTAAAGAAGACCATCCGCGATTACCTCTAACAAGAAACATCGTTCGATTGACACGCTTTGATTTCCATGCAACTTTAACTCGTTAACCGCCCCGCAGTGAAAATGGGTATTTATTACGAGACGTATCGAAGCTCTAATTAAGAGTAGGAACAATTTTAATTAAAAATTTATTTGCAAATTAATTTAATTTGCCACCTTAATATTTTTCTACCGTTTTCTTTTAATTATTCGAGTACGTGTAATTCGCGATGCCGGTCACCGGTGACCCTCGCAGCGTTCAAATCATACGCTGCAAAATATGTTTCCTCCTCGAGGAAGCATGACCCGATTTCAGCCGACATCACGTCAAATTAACGCGGTCAAACAGACTCCAAGTTACGTGTACAATTATCGCAAAGACAGAGAGAGTAACCGACGAGGGAATCGGATGACACGTGTTTCGCTCGACTACGAGTTGCAACTTCGGAAACTGGATAGCTACCCGTTTAATTTAACGAAAGTACGTAGCGGAGAATCGTTGAAGCCACTCTGGAACCTTGCTTCCTGTGTGCTTGAAGAATGCGCGACACTTTGGACGCAGTTAGTTAACGTAACGCCGTTTATTCGTCGGTTGAATAGTTTCAGACTTAACCGTAGTTCCTCGGTTCTTCTTCCGAGATACCACGTTCCGTCGTTATTTTCACGCGAATGTGATACAATTTCATTTTCGAAACAAGCCGTTTCTCGGCAAGCAAATAAACGTGACCAGACATGAATTTCACCCAGAGTGAGATGGACGAGAGCAAACGTTCCACGGTTTCCGGCTATCAGAGAAGCCGCTCGCGGTCGACCTCTTCCGGGCCCAATATCGATAACGAACATACGGGGGAAAGCCTTGCACCGAAAACGAGGGTAAAGCTTCCAGATAAGACGAACGATATTCGAGAATACCTAGCTCCTTGTTACGAGACAACTCGGCTTTTAAGAAAACTTTCGAGGGGAGAAGAAAACGATCGAGAGGCTTGGTCGACACGATGGAAAAGCCGATACACGTTTCTATCCATTAATCTCTATCGGCACTGCTCGAAAACGATTCTGTACCACACTTGCACCCAAAATCAATACCACCTTGCATCGTGTTCCCATCATTTAATCCTTTCCACCATAATTATTTTACTAGACCAGAGTTAGTAGGCAAATTGTACCCTTTGAACAGAACGCTAAGCATAGCTCGAGGGGAGCAACGTCACGAGTCATTAACACTTTAGCTTTATTTCTCCGATATTTATTATATTTTGCCTTATGGCCCAATCGTATGACTGCCGAGGCGTGGTTTAATTATCATTCGCTCTGGGCGGTAAAATAACTGCCCTGGAGGCATCCAATTGCCCAGGCCTCTACTATACTATGTACATCCTCTCTAACTCTGTTTTCTCTATCAAAATTTTACGATAATGCGCAACGAACTAATAATACCTCTATCGAATTTTATTAATTTAAAGGTAGACTTTCGTTACTGCTATGAAACAACCGGTCATTAACCCAAGGATTGATATCTTCCTCTCGTAGTTTGATTTACAACTTTCTATTAACCGAAACATCTGTCCCTATTGACGTTTGGTTTATCATCGAAATGTAGATTACTCTAAGAAAAGCAACTCGAGTTACAATGTATCCATTCACTGTTTCTGAGAATCGACTTAAATAATTGCATATGTACTACACGGTGGTCGATTCAATGTGAACGATGGTGATTAACCCTTTGAATGCTACGAACGCATATATGCGTCAGGTGAAACGCACATTGTTTCTTGTATATCATAATCAAATAAAAGCTATCAATACATATTACTAATTACACGCCATGTGTTATCAGATTATAATGATGTGATAAAACAAATGAAATAAAAAAAAAAAGTAATGTGTTATTGAATTAATTCTTATTTCGTACACACAGAACGTTTAAGCCCAGAGTACTCACAAGGGACATTACCCAATCGACACCCTTTGAGTATGATATAGAACTCAAAAAAATATTTAACACGTATTTTTTTTCATCGGCAATCGTCCATGCTGAAGGGGTGAAAAAAATGACAAAAATAGATTATTTTCAATATATTTTTTAAACAAATAAATTTATCAAAAAGGTGTTCAAAAACACACAAATTCCATTTTGAATTTTTCCCCTACACCTAATAATTCCTGAAATATTCAAGAAAATATGTTTTGCAACCCCAACTTTGAGGGCTATTTCCACCCCTTCAGGGTGGATCATGGAAAAAAAATACGTGTCAAATATTTTTTTGAGTTCTATAACATACTCAAAGGGTATCAAAATCGGTGTGTGTCGATTGGGTAATGTCCCTTGTCAGTAGTCAAAGGGATAACATGAGAACATAGCGAAGACACAAAAATGTTGTCGATATATTCCTTCAATCAATAGTATAAAGTAGTTATCACCCCAAAGGCGATTTCGTAATGGGAGGGATCAAAAATACTGGAGGCTATCGGATCGGTTATACAGCGTCACGGTGATAAATAAGTGGAATGTTCTAAAAGTTTTAAGAGCAATTTCCTCCACCATTTATTCATCTACATTTGCTTGAAATTCTTTTTACGATATATTTCTACCAACGAGCATACACATTTTTATCAAAACTTAGTAAATTATAGAACAATTTAAACGGCATTTATGTATAATGAAAAATCGTGTAAAAAGAAAAAAGTAAATTCCAAATTAGACACGGTGGCGTATTGGAGCAAATTGTCTGTCCTTAGTGCACGATCTAAGGAAGCTTGTTAGGTTAGTGAAATGTGTGTTTGCTCGTTTCCCGACGAGAAGGCAACGATAACAAGAGCGCTCCGAAACGATTCTCGGTTAATGTCGCGACGTTAGGTTCGTCGACACCTTTTCGGGTATACCGTGTGCCTCTGCGTGCGCATACAAATATTTTATGCACGCGTACATAGCCTTGGACCGTCCGAAAATTCGATGCCACCCCGTAATGAAGAGAATCGAATTGTGGCGTAAATTAGGCACACGCTTTCGGAATTTCCCTGTCGAAGGTGTTTCTCATTGGAATTATCGAGAATCGACTCATGAAAACGCGTCACGCGTCGAATGAATGAAAACTCGTTGGCATGCTCCATTCTTAATGCGATCCTCGTGTCGCTTCGAAATCAACCACTCCGAATAGACCGGAAACGAGGCTCTGTACCTCCTTTTCAAAAGCTCCATCGAATAACGCGTTTATTTTGTTTTATTTAAAAACATACGAACGAGTCGAACGGGTGTAAAATGCCCGTGAAATTTGTCCGTATCGAAATCGTCGATGTAACACTGCGATCGTCCAAGAGGGTAACGAACCCCGCGTCGGTTTTACGGAAAAACCGAGGCTCGACTCGGCACGATATCGACGAATGTAAACGATAACGTTCATTGTACTCACCGCAATGCAGTGACCTCCACGCTTGTATCATGCAGAGCTTCCCTCCTTCGTTGCTGCGAGACTCGTGAAACGGGGGTTGAACAAGGGCTGCTGCTGTCCGTGACAGGAACCACCGCATAACCAACAGTCACGTTTCTATCAGCACATCGGTTCGCAGAACGATCACTTTCTACACCGCACCACACGCGTCTGTGTCAAACGAACGCGACCAGCCACCGTTTACTTTATGATACAACACGAGCAGCCCGCAAGAAACGCGGAAACGAAAAAGTTTTTCGGCCTCGCAGGACCGCCGAATCGATGTGTGATGTTACACTTCCCAGCTGTCTTTTTTGATTCTGCGGATGTGCTCGCCGCTATCGCCATCTGACGGCGCTTGCGCCAACTCTCGTTTAAAATACCCCGCGAATATTCAAACCCTTGAAGGAGGTTGCGTATATATTGTTACGAGTAAATTGTTATAGTTATTCCATCTGATTGTTTAAACATTTGTATCGGGATACAATGAAAACATTTATTCTAGAAATATATTGTATTTTACGGTGTAATTTATTTGTATATATATAGACTCGTTTCCGACAATATCATATAAGAACATAATTTATTGTAATCCTTAAGGTATTTAATTATAGCATTAACGCTTAACCATTGTTAGGATATATATATATATAATTTCGCCATATTTTGTTAATAGTGAATAATCGCAAGAACTTAATCTACAAGCATTTTTTTTTTTTTTTTGTTACATATTCACTTGTCGTAAGTGTCGTACAAATGCATACATCATTGTAATCGATATATTACAAGATACATGCTCTTATATTTACATACAAACTAAAGGGGAGATAAATCGCAAGTTAAATCGCGTATCTTTCTGTCAATACAGATTTATACACGAGTCGATAAATCGTGTCACATATTAAATAAGACGAAAAAATTAAGTCGCATTTTACCTGAAATTATAATGAAATCATTTTGCAACAGTGCTCTTAAAAATGATACATTAAAACACGATAATAAAGGCGCGATTATCCGCTGAAATACATAAACATAATCCAAGGATTGAATTGAAAAACAATTAAGTAAATATCGCGTGAAGCAGGTGACTAACAGACTTATGTTTCTACCCGACTACAATTTTGATTCAACAAGTGGAACAAAAATTCTACGATCGTCAAAATAAAGTTACTCGATTAAAAATACATCAAAATAGATTATTCCATTTTAAATTACGTTTATAAACCATGTACATGTATATACGATACGAATGCTCGCCATAGTAACACGTGGAATACGCAAAATTCAAAGTAACCAGAATTTAAGGCCACAAAATTTGTCTCGTAATAATAATTATTTATTATCTAACGGGACGTATCAGTTTACAATAAAATAAGCTGTACAAACAGGATGGAATGTTTCGTTAGCTTTAAATGCTAAATACGTTTTTTTGTTAGAATGCTTGTTACATTCTCGGAATAGTTATTATCGTACAAAGTAGGCATTTACAGGTAACGCTAATCACGGAATTTCCGGTTAGTTAACTTCGTGCGTTGTATAATATCACTTTCGATAAAGAAAAAATCTAATGTATTCATTCTTCCGTATATTGTCATATTGTACAATACATATGCAAGTTTCATGTCTCTCATTTCTTTTATCTAATGCTATATACAATGAGCTAAGCACAGTATAATTTTCACTATCGATTCTCAGAAGAACGTACAAGAAGAATAGCTGTTGTTAAGGCAAAATTATTGTTTACATGATACGTAAATAAACCACGTTAATTGTGTTTCTTACTCGGTTCAATTTGTGTATATTTTTAAATTAAACAACTTGTCTTTTATTTATAATAAAATAAAATTAATTAAATTACGTATTTTACAATGTCTCTGATTCTTCTTGCTACATCTTCTTACAATATAATTTCTTTTAAATAGTTTAAACAAATAAAATCACAACTTCGAAGAGGTAATGCTACAATTTGACACAAGTTACGTAGCGTCATTGTATACATAACAATATTACAGATTTTGTTTCCATTGTACTAATGTGAATGTAGTCAAAATGTAACGCGTTTGAAACCCGTGACAAACGCAATGCAATATAATTTATACGGTTTTCTTTTTTTTTCTTTTTTTTTTTAATGTTCTTTAATTGCGATTTTAATTTTTTTCATTTGTAAACTTATATCCATAAATTCCTTCCGTAACAAGTCATTTTTATCAACAGAGTAAGACAAGGAATTAATAGATTATGACCTTATCTTAAAGTTATTTACAATTAATATCAGATTAATATTTTTTTTTTCTGTAGTGAAAAACAAAGTTTTTCCCAAAAAACTGTTTTAAAAGTAAACAGTCAAAATATGAAATTACATTTAAAAAGTGAAGTGAATTAATAAATTGTAATTTATAAGTGTTCGAAGCAGGATTTGAGATTACTTCCAAAATGTTTTTTTATCATTAAATATATCTTATAATTTTAAAAGTGCATCATGCGTAAAATTGTTTTGAACTATTGATAGCGGCTAAGTAATATTTAAACTTTTTTTTTCTGATTTGTCTCAATATTGTAACTAGCAGTTAAAAGACATCTAAGCCTTCAGAGTGCAGAGAAAAGTTTATCCTGTTAAATAGTTTATCATATTAGACAGTATACATGATTGTGTATGTATATGTATGTATATATGTACATTATATTACAGATATCATCATGAAAAGGGGTATTTCGTGCTAATCCACTCCAGCAAAACCTTGAGAACCTTCAATTGCTTTTACCAATTTCTCCCTGAGTTGTTGATAACTTTCGTAAGGAGGAAGATCAATACGATTAAAACTGGAAAGGGAATATTGACCGTCAGATACATAGCAAAATCGTTTAGATATTTTTTCAACGATGTTTGTAAAACAAACACAACAGTGTAAGCAAAATCCGCTACACCTGCTGATCTACGTCATTTAATTAAAGTCAGTTACTTACCAAGTGTGAGCTCTTGGATAATTGTCTGGTGTTCCCCACTTTTCAATTGTAAACAACTGTGGTCCATTGCTACCATAAAGTTCCTTAAAACCGTTCATTGGTACTCGAGACGTGCCAGTAACAAACTGTAAAAGTCTAGATCGCATTTCGTTGCTAAATGAAAGTACCACTCGCCAAAACCACTGAACGACAATATGATTTGCGTGATAGTCTCCTTTGTACAGCGTGTTCTGTTTCCAGTCTTTTACGTCAATATGTTGAATACCACACATCAGTAATTCGAGTTCGTGTTCGTCAAATATTTTTACCAATGTCGGCGGAATAAGAGCATTGAAACCTTCTAAGAATGCATTCATCTGTTCTTGTACTCTCGACACAAACCGCCACTGTATCACCAAACCAATATATTCGTCTTTATTTTCGTCTGTCAGCGATATATTAGCACCGTCTGGTTTAAGTTCTCTCTGAGAAGTATGACCAAAGCTTTCTTCGTCAACACAAAACGTCAATTCTAATTCACTAGGATCATTTTCTTTGATCCACAATAGAGAATTGTAATATTCGGAATCAACACTTTCCATGTCTTTTAAATCGATTGATTTACCCAACATCATTTTGTAAAATGGACGAATGAAAAATGCTGTTAAAAAAGAAAAATATTAGTTTCATTTATATCTGCAAATTACCAAGTACTTCATAATTTTAATACAAAACAAATTTTACCATCTAACAGTTTCCCGTGATAAACAGCCATACCCGCTATTCGACCAATAAATTTGAAATAATTCAAGTGTTCCTCGTTACATACTCCCGAAAAAGGATTAATTTGCAGAGTATAATTATCCCTACGAACAATTTCGGTTATTATCGTTTGTTACTTCTTACACTATACGAGCAAATAATAAATACACTTACGTAGCGGAATATTCAAACAATCCATAATAAGGATTGAACATTTCTTTAGACAAAAGGAAAAACCATTCTCGGGCTAGACCTCCGTAATCTAAGCCAACTTCCCCTTCAAACTCAACCCACAATTTTGTTTTCAATATTTCGACTCTGTTGACTGAACTAATTATACGGTAGGAATCTTCTAAAATGTTATTTCGGCTAACTTTTATTTCAAACTTATTAGGAACATTGTTCTAAAAAAGGAACAACATGATTATGATATTGTAACGATATTAGACTTCATTAAAATGATCATTCCATTGTATTTCGTACTTACAGGCTTTCTTAACTGGGATTTAAGATATTCGTATTTGCGTTTATAATCTCTTGAATATGGTACAGCCTGTATAAATACCATAAAATTATTCTGATATAGTTCTTGCAATGTATTATTTTAGCAAACGTAATTTTATATATTAGAAAATATCAGACTCACCGGTCCAGCAATTTGAGGATTGGACATACGTGGATCTTCCCATTGTGTTGTCCTTGTATCTATGTACAAAAAGATAAAGATAAAATAATAATATAATAAAATTCAATATTTTGACGTGTTGTACAATTAAGAATTAACATAAACGTACTATGATCAATGAAAAATATTCGTCCATCTGTGTGTACCCTCTCTTCCCAACCCTCAGGAAGAGGTCCAAGTTGATCTAAATCGCTTCGTGATGTCGTAGAAGGGGCAATATGGTTAGGTATCGAACTTGGACGCCCCGTTCGAGGGTCGATCCATGTTGTTGTCCTTTCGTTATGATCAATGAAAAATACTCTACCATTCGGAGCTATCTGCATACCCCAACCAGGTGGTAATCCTTCGTCGCTTGACACGGGAAGCGTCGGTTTTGGACTTTCAATCTAAATATCAAAGGATGATGAAGATTAAGGTAAACGTTTTTAATTGTTCACACGAATATTGAGTGACTGTCAGATAACACTTTTTAACTAAGATCTCTACGCACTTGTTCGGACGATCGCCTAGACCCAGCGGGACTATCCACATTGTCGTCGCTCTGTAAACGTATTATTAACATATTTTACATCAAAATATAATTTTGTATAAAATAAATACAAACTCACATGATAATCACGCTCATGTAATAATGTCAACTTATTGTGCAATAAGATGACTTACATCTTACGCACGTTCAACATTTGCCGATATATTAAGCGTTTACTGTTATATACTATTTGTAAAAATATTTTTAAGGAAACAGAATTAAACAAATTCATGCAATATATCAGATACAGAAATTTAAAATAAAATTCTAAATAAATATGCATATGAATTGCATTGCTGAAGGCATAAAAACCCTTTTAGCCAAATATTCCGGGGAAATAATCACATGCAAATGCATGGTGAATTTTCTGAAATATCAGTGCTAGGAAGCAAATATCCTTCTTTCGTTTTCAATATTGAACTTCACTGGTATAGTACGAACACGCATGTAAATGTAAATAAAAGCATTGAATAGAACTGAAAGTGAGCATGTCTACGTGTTTGAGTACCTGGTCTTCACTTTCACTAAGGTAGCCACGTTGATCAACAGAATGTCCAGAGTCTGAAGAAGTATCCCCCATACCCCCTCCCCTATGATTCTCAATCTCATTATCTCTCGTTTCCGAATCTTCACCTTCCTCGCGGAGAACTTCACCATCCTTACACACACATGCACAAAATTGCTACATACTGCATGCTAAGTATTCTATTTGTTAAAAAATTATCATATCTTTGAAATATTAGTATTTATCATTTTTTGTTTCTTTCACGATTCATGCATATCTAGCAATTAGTAAATCGTTAGTTACAATCATATTTTTCATTGCGACGTTACCGCATATTAACATAGGTATGTATAAAAAAGCATGTGTATATCTGTAGTTGCCAAAATATAATACACTTATAAATATTGAGTAGGACTACGAATGTGTTCAATTGATTAGAGATTTTTTTTAACTACAACTTGTTAAATTCATTACACAACACACCTCAAGTCCTACACTTTTTGTGCGTGTGTGTGTATGCATCTATATACACACATACGTTTTACATATGGAATATAAATATTATTATAAAGATCAGATAATACACAGGGCACATATGTAAACAGAATATCATACTATAAAAGAATTAGTTACGATAACAAAATACATTCAAACTATTAAAAGTTAATGTACAAGAACTCTAATTATATAAGTCACATTGTTTCATTGTATTTATTGCAATTAAATGATTTAGCATTAGCATTACCTGATTAATTGAACTCCTGTGTCTGTTTTCTTCATCCGCGCTAATATGGAAACGTCGCTGAAATTCAGTTGCTGCAGTACTGAAATTTCTCTCAGATGTCGTATTTCCACTAGGTGAAGTAGTACTGTAAATATATTTTAGTATCTTACAAATATCAGTATTCACGTTCATAATTTATAGATACACGCAATAGCGGCTTGACAATTGCCCGCTTTAGGAGCACTAAGAGAGAATTTTTCTCAGAAACGGAGAATTATCAAGCGTCAATGACACGCGTGTTTGCTTCATATTGTTATTTATCTGACAGTTATACATTCGGTAACTATCTAGAAGGCAGAGTGGGGTGCACGCGCATATGTGACTAATGCGTACAAATACGGGAAGTTTCTAACAGGGAATTACCTAGCGACTACTATCATTATGATTTGTTTTAAAAAGTATGTAATATGTTTTACATACGATTCTGTTGGACATTCCCATTGTGTAAATCTTGCTATATGATTAACATAATATGTTCTTCCATTTGCATCCTGTCTTTCTTCCCATCCTGGTGGTAGAGGTCTATTAAGGGCAACCTATAAAAATTGTTTAAAAATATTATTTATTGTGAATGTGATATTTAAAATTTATCAATTTATCCATATTATATATATGTACATCTGCAACCTGTTCCATTGGGCTATTATTTGGTTGTTGTACCATTTCCCACCCTCCCGAGTCAGTTGTAGCATCTCCATTATCATTGTCAACACTTGATGTATCAGAAATATATGCATGGTATACCTCCAATGTACCCTTCACTCTCGAACGCTGACTGGAATGATTACTAGCCATATCCTCGTAAGTTATTCATTTTGCATTTGCAAACAAAATATACAAAAGAAAATATTTTAATAAACTAAATAAAAAAACTGATATAATGCAAAATATTATAGCCTACAGAACTCAAAACATTGCAGAGAAGTGCATGTGAAAATGATGGCAATAAAAGTTAATGAATAAATTAAGGATACAGATGCAGTTATCTAAGAATTCAAATTGCATAAAAATTCATAAACAAATCATTCTAAATTAGAAGCATAATAAGATACATATATAGCTCCAAGCATACATTATAACAGCACTTACCTACGGGGTCTTAGTAAATAACGTCTAGTAGGAATCGTACGACCTTCTTGTTCTTTAGGCAGGTTAATTAATGTTAATTCTATCATTCCAAGAAAATCATCCCTTGTCAATCTATTTTCATCAAAAACTTGTAATACTAATTTGTGATCAACAGGTTTAACCTGAAGATGAAAAGTAGCTATGTATTAAATCTCACATATATTTAATTCGACATGTCACCAAAGTACATTATATTAATCTTACTCTAAATATAAACTCTTCCTCCCAAGTGGGATTCAAAGTTTTTTTCTTAGTTTTTGTGAGGGCAGAATCCACAGTTTGATCACCATTTATAGTATTTAAGTCAACACGTACATATGGATCGCTTGCACCAAAGATATCTTTCTTTGCTAATTGGTGTGCAGCGATCACTTTTAATCTCAGCTTGCTAGTAGCTTCATTCCTCTGTGCAAAACACAAAAACCCAAATATTATAATACAGTTAAATTGTGGTTATTAACTGAATCAATGATCATTTTATGATAGCTCATATCACTTTTTTTTATATAATATAAATTTATAAGAAAAGAACAGCTTCTTTTATGAATCATTGAAATGTCAAGTATTTTATTCAATTGTATGACTAATTAGGTGATAATATTTTCCTGTTCGTTTTTGTGTATTTCACATAATAAAGGTACTTTTAATTATTTTATTACTTATTGATAAGATTGATTGGAGTTGCTCAAAAGGTAAACGTAATAAAAACAACTTGTATTGGAATTTTTAGTTAAATAAAAACCTACAACGTTAGCATAACAATCGTAAAATCAACAACTCTCTGGAAGTAACACCCTTTCTGAAGTCTATCAATCAAAAATCCAACCTGTACTTGTCAAACTGTCAAAATAGTTACGTACGGATTCTCCGTCAACTCCTGGCGGTGGATTATATCCGTAAACATGTTCTTCTGCCATTAACGTTATATGTAATCGATTTTTTTTTAATCGTCGACTGCTGTTTCTTACAATTTAGAGAAGTTCACAGTTTCTTATGTGCCATCAAGAAACCTATTTTGTCTTAACCCCTCTCCGTCACTATTGCATGAACGAAACGGATATGACATACTCCCGCTTAAAGATGGCTAACTTCCTTTCAAATATTTAAACATAACTAAAAATTTAATTTCTTCATTTTATCTACGTTCCAATCAAGAAACTTATCTTTATCCTCACGAAAATACTTGCCCCTTTATAAGACACGTTACTCTTGATTCTTTAAATTATATTAAGGACTATTAAAAAGGAACTTAAAGAAAAAAGTTACATTCTACATAATGCTGAAATGAATAATATTCAATGCGCCTGCGAATATCTTTCCGAATTTTCCTAAATAAAAGTCTTTCGTCATTATACGCAATAAGTTGAGCGGCAATATCGAAATTACTTTTGATATAAGTAAGGTTTCTATTTAACATTACCATCATATTTGAACAGTTAATGTGTGTAAAACGTAATTTATGCGTTTTGGAATGTATTCTTAATGATTATCAAAACACTGTTTTAAGGGCTTTATATTAACAGACATATGAACATTACAACAATTGCATTTTAGCACGTACGAGGAAACATGATTATTCACATACCATAGGCTCTGTCAGTGAGACTCGTCCAGGTCTTGTATTAGCTTGTAGTACTCTAGATGCAGAACGATGCTGGCTGTTCCAGGTATAAGAACGATTCCTCTGAGGAGGTGATTCAACACCAGCATATATTGGGTAGGTCAAAGTACCTGGCATCTTATATTTTTAAATTCTGAGTACCTTCCACATTGATACAAATGTTCTTCACTATATCGATTACATGTGTTTTAGTTTTGATATGTGATATTAATTAATAAACATAATTCCTAAACATAAAATAAGAATAGTTATTTTAAATTATGTTAATGCATTAAAACCAAATTCAAATAAATTTTACGGCACTTTAAGTATAATTGCATATGAATCTAACATTAAATGGAGTATCAATAAATAAAACTAATGTTATTATTCTTTGTTATGTAACAACTATAATATAGATGAAAACATTACAATAGATACTTGATATTAAATAAATTAACGTTTTAAATTGTATTTGTAACACAACATACAGTATTATTGGAATAATATGTGTATATGAATACATACTAGTAACAATAAGATTTATGCAGAATCATTAAGCATCAATACAAGGTAACATAAAGTGTTAAACAAAATATGATTAATTGAATAAACACTTTTCAAGAAAACTTGTACAATTCACGATTAACTAATTATTCATATATATGATAATTTATATTAAAACTTTTAACAGAAAGAACATAATGCATGATCGTCCATAACTGAAAATCCACTTATTTCTGATGTGAACGTTAAATATAAAAATCTTTCGAGATAAGAAGAGTGCTTTAAATCATTAATATGATAACACGTACTTGTTCAACTACGAAATTAACTACTACATTGAAAGTTAGATAAACATACAAACAGGTAATTGTTCCATAAACTATAAATGATTCAAATAAAAGTCTATAGAAACGATTAAAAATAGAAATTACAAAGGTAATTATCTAACAAATAGTCTATAATGTATACTTATTAATGTTTCGAACAAGTATCGTTTCTTGATATAACCATAGTATTACTTTGTGTTTTCATGATATGAAGATATTTAATTGATTATTTTATTCAACTTGCATTTGTTATATAGGTAGGGTGGCGCTCTTGAAGTTGTTAAATGTCAATCTTTGTCTGTTTCTGAGTAATTCGAAATCAGTACAAAAAAAATGTTCAATACTTGTATAGAAACTTCCGCTTCTAATACGTGAATACGTGACATATTGAACGTAACACGTATTCAAAATGTTAGTAAACATTCATTTGTGTTCGCAAATATGTATATGTCATTAACAATCAATATAAAATTAAAGTAAAAATAATAGTCAAGCTTGTAAATAAAACACAAGTACACTTTTAGATTTATTTTTATGTATGATACAGGTTAAGTGGTAATAAATAAGTATTACTCCATCTTCGTTATACTTGAATTTTTAAAATTGTTAAGATGTTAAGAAGACGAAATGTGAACATTAAAACTGTCAAGGAACTGGATGGATTTCCCAAGGTTCCTGAACCTTATGTTGATAAGACTGCAGTTGGAGGAACATGTAAGCTTTATGCTACATAATTCAGTGTTTTGTTTATACCCAATAATAACATTTTATGTTTTTAATTTACAGTTTCCATATTTACCATATGTACTATTGCATATCTCATAATAGCTGAAACAAATTATTATCTTGATAGCAGATTACAATTCAAATTTGAACCAGATACAGACATTGATGCAAAATTAAAAATAAACATTGACATAACTGTTGCTATGCCATGTGGTCGTATTGGTGCTGATGTTTTAGATTCAACAAATCAAAATATGGTAGGACATGAATCCTTAGAAGAAGAAGACACATGGTGGGAATTAACACAAGAACAAAGAGCTCATTTTGAAGCTTTGAAACACATGAATTCTTATTTAAGAGAAGAATATCATGCTATTCATGAACTATTATGGAAATCTAATCAAGTTACCTTGTATAGTGAAATGCCAAAACGGTATGTGAATTGTATTTAAACACTGTTATGGTTTTGTTTTAGGAATCCCATTTATGTTATGATTATATATGTTTTAGAACTCATCAACCTTCATATCCACCAAATGCATGCCGTATACATGGCACTTTAAATGTTAATAAAGTAGCTGGAAATTTTCATATAACAGCTGGAAAATCATTATCTATCCCCAGAGGACATATACATATTTCAGCATTCATGACTGATAGGGATTATAACTTTACTCACAGGATAAATAAGTTTTCATTTGGTGGACCTAGCCCAGGTGTTGTTCATCCATTAGAAGGGGATGAAAAAATTGCTGATAACAGTAAGTTTATGTGACATATAGAAGATGAATATGAGTTTTGTGAAATCTATTATTAATAAAAAACAATTGTTTTTTTAGATATGATTTTATATCAGTATTTTGTAGAAATAGTTCCCACAGATATACAAACTTTACTAAGTACTTCTAAAACTTATCAGTATAGTGTAAAGGATCATCAAAGACCTATTGATCATCAAAAAGGATCTCATGGAATTCCCGGGATCTTTTTCAAGTATGATATGAGTGCACTTAAAATAAAAGTTACCCAACAACGCGATACAGTATCCCAGTTTTTAGTAAAATTGTGTGCTACAGTTGGAGGTATTTTTGTTACAAGTGGTAAGTACCTTCGTTTAAATAATTCGCGTTTTATTGAAAATATTTTTAATACATTAAATTTTACAGGATTAGTAAAGAACATTGTTCAGTATTTTTGGTACATAGTATGCTGCAAGTTTCTAACGCCTAAAGAAAACAAAAATGACCAAATGTTTTCAACCCCAGTTGTTGGTACTAACTATCAAATACCTGGAACAATAAATCTATTAAATGTTCCAATACCAAATAACGTGGATATCATGTTTCAGGCTAAATAAAAATAACTTTATTTTAAAATGAAAATGACAATGAATGATTTATTTGTAACAATTTTGTAAATAATAAATTAATAATAACAATTTTATATTTATGAATTATAGTTGTTTTTCTTAACAATTTGTATAATAGGTCTATTTGCGAATTTCTGGTTCCCCTAGCAGCAAGTGGGAGAAGCAGCAGGTTCCCTCTCCTGTTAATTTCCTCCAATGAAATGGTTTATTAGAACAGAAAGTATAAGAAAGAAATGACAAGGAGATGAATGGCACGAATGGTAGTAGGAAAGTTTGATCGAAAGATGACATTTTATTCACATTTATTAAATCAATGCATTAATGTTGTACGATATGCGTAGCAAAAGATTAGTCGGCTGAAAATCTTCGCATGCGCTCGTCCGAACTATTTAAGAGAACGAAATTTATTTCATTCTCAAATAAAATTAAGGAAACGTAAATTGTTTAGAAATGGCAGATATTAAACCAGATCATAAAGTTGAAGATACTGATAATTATGGAATGGGTAATAATGCGGAACCAAAAAATATGCAAGAATTGACAGAATATGTAAGTATAGGCCGATGTATTGTTGTGTCATTTGTTGTAACTCAATGTTACGATTCCTTGTTTATATTTTCTTTTTTTATTTTTAGGTACAAACACTACTACAAAATATGCAGGGTAAATTTCAAACAATGTCAGATCAAATTCTTGGAAAAAATATCCTTTTCTAAGCCTTTTTTTACAAACATGCTTCCTTAAATAACCTCAAAAAATGTAATGGTTATGAACGCCGAAATGTTTATTTTATGAAAGTGAGAACTAATATATAAAAAAAAGAAGTTATTTAAGGAAATTTTATATTTACTTTAACAGTTTTGTACTCGGAATGTTAATTATTATAACTATCCTTAATAGAAAATACTAGATGAAATGGGAAACAGGATAGATGATCTAGAAAAGAACATCACAGACCTAATGACACAGGCTGGTGTAGAAGGAGGTGAAAAATGATCATATCTATTATAAGATTGATTTTGATATACAAACAAAAACATTTTTAATATTGGTTAATGCTATTGGTCAAGAATGATATCTAAAGGTTATTGATATGTACTTTTAGTTATAAAAGAAATAAATCACCTTTTTTGCAGTAAAGTAATCCAATCTAATCTACATTTTCTTTTTTCTTGTTAAATAAAAACGGGAGACATACTTAATTATACTTAATAATCATAGGCTTTGTTAAAAACTTCTGATATGCAGGAATTGGGGGTATTGCTTTAAATATAAATTTGCGTGGACCATCATGTTTAGAATCTGTTTGCAGTTTAATCTACAATTGTATAAAATATTAAATGGAATTAATGAAATATACATAATTACATAGATTTATGCCTGATTCTCACAGGTTTATCTTTAATAGATTCAGAGTCTGTTTCTTCTGAACTCTCTTTATATTCCTCAATTTGTACAGATTCTGAAGAGTTGGTTTTTAAACTAGATTTTGCAGAATCCTATAAATAAATGTTCATTAATAACCATACACAATTATTACATATCAAGTTAAAATGAAGACCTACCGTGGACCCCGTCGCACGGGTATCTAATTTCTGTGAAATGATGGGAGAAGAAGTAAAACGACTAGCCAAATTAGTTAGAGAATAAGCTTGTCTAAATGAAGTTCGTTCAACGGTAGCCAATCTTGCAACAGAATCCGGAACACGCATCACTTCACGAAATTCCTAAATTCAATCATTAAATCTATTAGTTTAAATAATAAAAGTATCTGATGTATGTCATCCTCATAATACTAAATTAAATGTGGTAAGCAGAATAATATTTTACCCCATTCATACTTCCTCTCATTGTCTGAAAGTCCTGTGAGAAAAGTATCAGTATGACGCTAATTTAAAATCACCTATGAAACTTTAAAACTTATTTAATGCATAACAAAATTATATTTAATACGTCAGTAACATCTTACCTCTAGATCTTTAACTTCATCGATTTCACTAACGTCTTGATAAGCTTTCGTCAATAACTCCAAAGCTTTTGCGTGAAAACTTAACTCGATAGCAACAAAATCTAACAGTAAGGTTTTTAAGTCATGTAATTTCCTTTTTTCGAATGAATCAATTTGCTCTTCCAACCCCTTTACAACTCTTGAAACTTCGACGGAAGCTTTCATTAATTCCGATTCAGCTTGTGACTGTATTCATATTTAAGAATATAAAATACATTGCAAATCGTGAACAATTTAATATGAATATTAATATAAGGATACGATCATTTGTCTGTTTCTAGGATTTCTTTCTCTGAGCCTGTCCAGATGTCTTTTCCTAGTTAACTCTTTGTCTCGTGCCGCAAAGGTATTTTTCACGTCATCACGAGCATGTTTACAGATAGTCGCATATTGAGAAAGCGGAGCAATTATTTTTGCATCGAATCTTTGTACTTTGGCATCACTAATAACATAAAAAATTCTTTTTATTTACACCTTTTCATGATTTAGCGAAACGAACGCGTACCTGTAGTCGCCTATCACCGAGAGAGTCGCTGAAAAGTTCGTCAATCCTGTAGAAAGTGATCGATTTATATTTTCCGAATGAGCGTAGGTCTGAATTACTTTTGCAATTTCATCGCCTTTATCGCGCAATCTGAAAGTATATTTATAAATATAAAGAAATAAAATAATCGATATATAGGGGTACATATATCGGATTGCTGTTACCGACAAACCTTGCCGCTTTTCTTGCATATGCCGCAAACGTCACGCATAATTCTGCGAAATGTTTCTCCACGTTGGATATTCGATCCTGTACAAATTTCGCTTCTTGTTCCCTGACAAAGACGACAAAATAATGAACATAACGTTAAAACATACTTTCAGGTATTTTACAGCCGTGTAATCTGAAAATATTTACCATACACTGGTCTGGGATCTTGAACGTAACATCGTGTCATGTGTACGTATGCGTAGTTTTGCAATTTCTTTTTTTTTTCTTAAATCTAAATCGATGTTCGTATGAAAGTGTACTGTTTCTACCGTTTCATTCGCGTGGACTCCCCCACTAAACAGTTTATCGTTGACAGGTGGTGTATTACGACCCGAAGGGAGGTCGATTTTAGTCTATACTAACCGGCCTTTGTCTACCTACCTGCGTAGTTAAGTAAAACTATAGTTTCTTTACACAATGTTTCGAAAGGAATATAGTTCTTTGACCCTTTGCCTGATGATTCATTTTCACGCGACTCCGTACATGCAATTGTTATAAGAACATATTCCAAGAATAGAAATGTGTATAATAAGGATTCAAAGAATGAAAAAAGCATTAAGAAAACGTGTTTCGTCAATAAAATTTATAGCTTCTTTATTACAGCAAACGAATGACCTGCACCGCTACCGATACAAATTCCCGCGTAATTAAACGGAAGTGAAAGTTCTTCCGGAAATTTAACGTCTCTCGTATGACCGTTTCCGCAGTTTCCATGCTCGTTCCAACCCCAACACACAATCCTATCGTTCTCTGCAATATTAAGCATATAATACATTAATATACACGTTGATTTTGAATCCTTTGATGAAAAGTAGAGAAACACCTGTTAAAGCAACGTTATGTTCTGAACCGACAGAAATCTGACGAATTTTCGACTCGTTTTCGAGCCACATAACCTTCCAAGTTGATGATCCTTCGAATTCTTTAACACCTAATTGTCCATACGTATTTCTACCCCACGAAAAAATCTGACCATCTAGAAATAAGTAAATTATCTTTAAAATAATACATGTTACTTATATAATAGATGTAAATTTGAATTACCACTTAATGCAACCGTATGCGACCAGCCACATTGGATCTCAGTCGGTGATTTAAACGGAACGTCTAATAGTTTTATTGGAAAGGATGTATTTGAGAGTATATCAGTATTTAAGCCTAATTGTCCATGTTTATTGTCACCGAAACCATAAAGATCCCCGTTTTCCTCTACTACAATAGTATGACGTTGACCACAGTTAACACTGTGCACATTTGTCAGAGTTGGAACTGTTTACGAAGCAGAATGAAACTCAGGCCATCATGGAAGAAAGGTTTCGTTTCAAAAATGTTTACCTTCTGTGAAAGTGTATGCGGCATTTAAAAGCGGTTCGTTCCTCGACAGACTTAGACCCAATTGTCCTCTATTACCTGCACCCGCTACCAGAACTTTATGATCCTCTGTTATTAGAGCAGTGTGCCTTAGGCCAAAGGAAATCCCTTTAACTTTTCGATCGATTAGAAGTTCAAAAGGTTCGTGCGTCCAACGAAGATTACTCAGGTGTTCCCCCAATTGTCCGAAACAATTCGACCCCCAGAGAAATAAAGTGCCTTCTATTGTCAATGCCGCGGAGCAATCCCAGCCACATGCGATGTCCACGACAACCTTGCCTTCAAGTTTATTATCTAGTTTTCGAAACGAAAGAACATCTTGCTGGGTAGAAAAACCTGCTTGACCTTTATTGTTCCAGCCGCAGGAATAAACGTTACCGTAATCGTCTAAAATTAAGGAGTGACCAGCACCGCCAACTATTTTACGTATTCTTCGGGGTTCTAATGAACATCTGGACAAATCAACTTCTTGGGGTAAAAGACATTCCTCCGAATGAATACCCTGTCCAAGTTGACCATGAGAATTGGCACCCTAAACAGCACATGATTTTTTTCTCTAAATGTAAACCTTATTTTGTCGAGTAATTTAAATTTATGATTGCTCTCCACATTTTGAATGTTCCGCCAAGTCATGGTGTTTCTATTTGAATTTGATCTTATTGACTACGAGTTACATTTTATCAACTGTATCTAATCTATTTTGCAATTTATTATAGATTTTATGTATTTAAATTATTAACGTGATTACATTCGAAATTAAAATGACTGTATATGTAAAATATAGAGTAAAAATGATTAGTACGTTACCCATGAGATTAAACGATAGCTCATCGTTATTTGTAGGTGTGCAAATTATTTCTTATAAAATGGTCGTATTTGATGTTTAAATAATATTTAAATAATAGAATTAAAAACATATCTACAATTTTAAGCTAGATAACTACGTACTAAAGTAAAGATTGAAAGACTCGCGGAACGGATAGGTTAACTTTTTGAGAATACGATGTATAGATGGCGGCAAACATCTTCATGTATACAATTTTTGTATTCAGTTTCTTTATTTAATTCATGAAAACATTGATTCTTTTATGGCGATGTGCAGAATTGTTATTTAGTTAACTATAGTAATTACAGTCATTAGATCAATCATTGATAGGACTTATACGATATGGAAGAACCTATCAAGTTTGATATCAAAGAGGTTAAGTCTGATCTTTTGCGCGCGATAAACGAATGTTCTCAACGTGGATTATTGCACACCACAAAATGGTTTGTACGTTTTTGAAATAAGAGTAAAAAGAGAATTGTTATTTTATTACGGAGAGGGTATAAAAAGTAATTTTTATTTGTTTACAGGCTAGCAGAATTGAGTTATTCCTTAAAAGACGTCAAACCAAATGTTCATGACATTACCGCCGATGTGTATTTGTCGGATACAGAAGAAGAAGAGGATACATATATTTTGGCAAAAACGTATTTCGATTTAAAAGAATATGCTAGAGCGGCTTATTTTACCGAACAATGTAAAACTTCGAAAGTTAGATTTCTACATTTATATTCTCGCTACTTATCAGGCGAAAAGAAAAAGATTGATGACATGACTGTAGTGCCCCCGGATCCTTTGAAAAATGATAGTTTAAAATTGTTATGCGCGGATTTGAGGAAAGATCACTTGGATGATAAACTCGATGGTTTTAGTCTTTATCTCTTTGGTGTAACTTTGAAAAAGCTACAACTTACCAGAGAAGCTATGGATGTGTTGGTCGAGGCAGTCCACAAACAACCAATGCATTGGGGATCATGGTTAGAATTAGCTTCTTTAATTATTGATAGAGAAAAACTGGAAAATCTATGTCTACCTGATCATTGG